GGATTATTCCAGACAATTCCAAAGAAATCCCCCAAAGACAGAGAAACATAATTACAAAGGCTCTGCATTAAGAATTGTCTATCATCGCCGGGTTTATTCGAAATGAGACATTGCATTCTTTATATATATATATATATATATATATATATATATATATATATATATATATATATATATATATATATATATATATATATATATATATATATATATATATATATATATATATATATATATATATATATATATATATATATATATATATATATATATATATATATATGCATGTATGTATATGTGTGTTTGTGTATGTATGTCATCGGTTTATTTTACTAAGCATTAAAAAAGGTTTCTCATATTTTGGCTGTTAAAGTACATTGTTAGTGAAAGTGCATACTTTATATTGCATATATTACAGAAAGTAGGGGCACCTCGAGGTTGTGTAATGGTTAGCAATCTTGTCTCGCTAGAACAATTACGACTGAGTAGTGAGATCGATCCTCACTGGGGGCCCCCTAACTTCGGCCTGGTGCCTCATCTAAGCTACGCTTGGAAAATCGCTATATTACAGAAAGTAGACGGACTAATAAAGTATAGGTAAATTTACCGGTACTTATTTAATTTTAACAATATTTACTCCAACAATGCCACAGATAGAAGGACGCAATATATATGGGAAATATACATATAATTTTTTATATAACAGAATAATGTTAGAAAGGTCTATGACGAAGTGGAAGAAAATTCGTCTGACTTCATCAGGCTAAGTTTGTTTACGTTTCTGCTATGACACATGCACAATAACGATAGATTGTGAGAATTTTAAATTTAAAAGGAGAGGGGGACGCTGAATTTTTAATTTATTTCGTGTTAATGTGGGGGACGCTGAATTTTTAATTTATTTCGTGTTAATGTGTTTGGATATATAGTCGAGCTGATTTCATTTAGTTTTTTTTTCTTGAATCTTTATCACTTTTGTTATTAAGTTTTCAATATTTTGTGATAATAGAAAATCTGACAAGAAAGATGAAATGTTTTAAGAATCTGGACGTAAATTTAAAGCACTTTCTATATAATTTTCTCTTAGTTACATTTTCGAAACGCATTATACGAATTTTTTTTTTCAGTATCAGGGGATAGAGCGTATGCAAATATAATAGTGGACATTGAGGTCAACACCAGCGGCAATTAGATTGCGTTTAAGCATAAAACGGACTGTCGCAGCTGGGTGTTTAACCTCAATGTCCACTTATATATATATATATATATATATATATATATATATATATATATATATATATATATAATTTATTCGAAAATTATAACATAAATGTATTATAAAATCATTCCGAAAATAGCCATTTTGTTTCAACATTTCTGGTTTATTATCAAGTGTTGGTGGCGAATGGAGAATAAAGGGTTTTAAAAAGTTCAAATCGACCAAACACTGCTCGATAGGGGAAACGCTGTTACATAAGATGCAATGACCATTAAAAATACAAGTATATGAGAATTCAAAAAACTTGACTAAAAACCTTATCTATAATTATTAATGCCTTAATGTTAGGGTTAGACTAAAATAGAAATCATTCTATGTAATTAATATTAAATTTTACTATATAAATTAAAAATCACCAATTTTAAATTTAATCTGTATTAAGTTTAAAATATAAGATTATTTAAAGACGAAACTGATGGAAAAGCATATATTTTTTAATTTGTTTTGTTTTAATTGAAAAAAAAAACTCAGTTAAAATAAACGTTAAAATCTAATGTGGATGTAAAGCTTCGTTACTACTTAGATACATTTGAAGTGGTGATATAGGCAGGGGAGGAGGAAATCTTGCAAAAGACAATACATACACATTCAGATTATAATATACAAACACGTAGACATATTTAGAAATATAAACACGAAAAAACACGAAAGAAACAGGAAATAGATGTCCACGACTCTAAGAAAAACAAACAAACAAAAAAGAAACCACAACATACATACACTGAAAGGCATATATAAGTGATCGTACACAGATACACCAGAAAGTTTTTCTCGCTTGAGTCAATCCTTCAAATCTCCAAATCAACCATTCGTGTTTGCATGGAATACTGTTGCCATATATGGTCTAGTGTCTCCGCTGTTCATCTCGAGGTCCGCGACAAAATCCAGATACGGATATGCAACGTGATTGGTCCTGATCTGGCATCTGCAATCACTATCTCACAGATGGGCTGTGGCTTACCCTCTGTCTTTTCTACAAGTATTTCATTCGACCAGCTACTTTCACTGGTACCCAAACTGCATGAATATAAGCATGCTACTAGTTTGACATTTCGGTCCCAACCTTTCACTGTCGAAACGGCTAAATGTAACCATCTCTTCTACTCCAACAGCTTAATATCTCACATCTTCCGTCAGTGGAACTTCCTACCCATCACTTGCTTCTGATAGCTATAATCTTCAAATATTCAAATGTAATGTCAATCGACATCTTCTAACGCCTTGACCTTGATGCCTGTCCTTCTCTTTATCCTCTTCCCAAACACTCCTCTTTATTCTTACTCTCTCTAACCGCTTGCGTGCTCGTGGCACTTCCGCATTGCTTGGGGTGGTTTGCTTAAAAAAACGATATATATATATATATATATATATATATATATATATATATATATATATATATATATATATATATATATAAAATATTAAGAGCAATTTTAGGGAAAGATGTATGACAAAGATGAAAAGTTTTTCGTGTGACGCATTTCGTCCTTTAGGACTTCGTCGGACTAGGTTTACGTTGATGCGACTACACATGCGCACGAATGAAGGACGCTGGGAATTTTAAGTTTAAAAGTATTTTTTAAATGTGTTTTAGATATATAATCTGGCAGATTTCATTTAGATTATTTCACTTTTCGAGTTCAAATTCCGGTCTATGCTGTGGCATTTACTTCCGCACAATTACCTTTAGGGAAGATAGGGATCCATTTCTTCTCCTCCCAACTATGGATTAAATAGCAGTATAGACTAGATTCTCTACCACTGGGTGACAATTAGTCTAAGAGAAGTAAAAATTCTGAACTCAAAACAAATATGAAAACAGTCATTGTATGGTTATTTTAACACAGACACACCTCTGCTAATACGGTGTTAGAACATTTACTGCTGAAATGGCTCTTAGGTGTTATGGGAAACTTGAAGTGACACTAAAGAACACAATGTGTTGCTGAGTGACGACTGAGTAGTGGATAAATAAAATAATTGAAATATTAACAATTTATATTCAAATTACGTTTGCGTGAAACTATGAATTACAAAGTGGATTTGTATTATATATTTATTCTTTAGAGTTAATGCGTCATGGGTCGATCAAACTAATGTTTGATCGGCCCATGACGCATTAACTCTAAAGGACATTAAAAGAGAAGCGGGTTCTAGTTTTCTTAAGTACTTTTGTTTATCCACTACAAGGCCCGAGAACAACTCAAAGTAGAGGCTTACTGAACAATGTTCTTTCGCCTACTTGCTTTACTCCTAAATTATTATGGGGATATATACGATAGATATCCCGAGACTTGAAAATGTTAAGATTGTAGTGGTCGGAGAATTATCCTCTTGGGAGTCTTTTGTATAATGCAATGATTCTGGAGAAGAAACTGTCTGATCGGAACTTCTTACCAATTAAATATGAAGAGGATAAAGATGAATCGACTCTGAGTATGTGGCACCATGATGGCTTCAGTCTGTGAAGATTTGAGCTGGTGGAACTAACAAATCTAGTTCACCCAAACATCTACAGGAAAACAGTGATAGAACAGCGAGAGAGACTAGGAAGGTTTCATCTATGGGGCAAAATAAGAATTCATCACCCACAAGGCCACACAAACGCGTTTAGATAAAAAAGAAAATATAATTAACATAAGAATATTCTCCATTATACATTCGCTTTATACAGACAAAAACATGCGAGATGTAGAGGTAATATAGTGAGCATCTGTCAAGGCTGGTAAGAAACGATTGGCCTGTTTCAACATGGCAGCAATATTTCATTTTTGGTCGGATCTGACACTTGTAAAGATCAAGCACGATAGGTCCTTTCTTTGGCGGCCCAGGAAGCTGACCTTCCTTGAATTGATAAGACCATATTTTCAACAAAATCTCATAGAATAAGATTGGATGAAAATATATTTCCTATTTTTGTTCATTAATAATTTTTGCAGTTGTCGTAAACATACAAAAAAAACTGGATCCATTTTCTTATTACATTTATAAAGGATCCAGCTGCTCAAAAGGAAACGATTGTATTTCATAGGTATTCTTCTTCAGAAGGTTCTTGAACATCTCAACTTTGTGAAAAGACTCTTGACATTATATATACAAAAGAAAGAAGCAGACATTTTAACTATGAGATTATTGTTTTAATTATATTAACATCAGAAACTCTATATCTACTTCGTATCAAGGGTAGGATGACGTGTGGACTATTAGTGATTTCTGCTTGGATAATCAATTAGTCTTAATCCGCCACTGATGAAAGTGTCAATATATTTGTTTAACAAATTATACTTATGTCATGGTTTACACAAACAGCTAGTAGTTACATGTGACACATAAGATTCTCATCAAAGATTACATTATAGTCGACACGTTTTTTTTTATTGCTGGAAAACATTGGTTTTAATTTTATTGACGTTTTATTCTCAATCCTGGACGGAATGTTAGTGGAAGCTGATCAGTTTAAAGTAAGAAAAATAAGTAAGAAAAAAGATAAAAATTAAATAAAGTAATAAAAAATGTCACTTAGTGAAGGAAACGTCTGCTTTAATCACGTGTCGGCTGACTCAAGAAAGTGGAGAAAGCGCAAGATGTGTTTTCGCACGGATTTTCCCCAAATGAAATCCTCACAATAATTCCATTCGCCGCGCAAGTGTTCACATGTTTTACATATGTGTTGTCGTTAAATCTCTTCTTTTAAAAAGGCTTTTGTCCCGCGACGTCTTACTTAACACGCACGAGTGTACGCCTGTTCCAACGTCTGATCGTCGATTCGCACGATGTTGACATTCGGCGCCATCAAAAGTGCTTCTTAGTTTCTGCTTATCCACTTTAAGGAATATTATTATTTCATATATTTCCCGCCCATTTTTTACTTAGCTATTCCTGCTTCTTATCTTGCGTTTCGTTGTGATGTTATCTTCATTTTATCGCACACCTTCGGTTCTCTTTCTCATATTTTCTCTTTTCAATTCACATATCTCTTTTTTTTTTTCCAGCCTCACAATTTATAATTTGTTTCTCTTCTAAACTTTCACTTTTCACACACGTTTTTCTTTTAGTTTCTTACAGATTTTTTATGTAGAGTATTTTTTCTAATGTTTGTATTAAATTCTGTCCTTTTTACTTTTATATTCCTTCTTTGTTTTCGCCTTGTCATATTTTTTGTTTTTCTTTCTATCTATCTATCTATCTATCTATCTATCTATCTATCTATCTATCTATCATATAATTCTTTTTATCTATCACACTCTAATCATTTCTATCTATCTATCACAATATAATCGTATCTATCTATCTATCTATCTATCTATCACAATATAATCGTATCTATCTATATTTATTTATCTATAGATAGATAGATAAACTATCTATCTATCACACACTAATCGTTTCTATCTATCTATCTATCTATCTATCTATCTATCTATCTGTTTGACTATCTGTCTTAATGTCTATTTATTTATGTATTTAAAAAAATCCTTTTTCTTTCAAATTCTTTCTTTCCTTCCTATTGTCAGTTATTTTAAACTTTTAACAATTTTTCTTTCGCTTTTCTCCTTTCACTTCCGTCCCATTTTCTTCCTTCATTTTTGACTTTCTATATATTGTCTTCATTTGTGTCTTGTTCATTAATTCGTCCGTTTCCTCCCAGTTTCTTTCTTTCTATTTTCCCCTGCCTTTCATCTTTTCTCTATATGTCTTTTTTTTCTGTCGTTCATACCAGTGTCTCTTCTTCATTTCCATCACATCCTCCATCATTTCCCAATCCACGAGACATCTAGTCTCTGACCAACAATATTTAGTTCCCCAGTCACGTCCTTTCAATCTTCTGCACGACCAGAGACATGTGCCCTTAACCATGGCCATATTGTTTAAACGTGCACCCACTTTGTGCGTTGTAGAAATCCCACCCCCCAAATTCCAACAGATGTTGTCAACCGTTCAGGCGTTTCCATACATGGTTCTATTTTCTTATGATCCATTATGTTTGAGAACATTCGAAAGTCACCCCACTTCCAGACAGGTAAATGCCAGTGTGGTGTAGACCCTTTTGAATAGGTCTTTGCATCAAAGTCGATTCCAAGCCTGTATCCTTTTGACTTGTTTGAAATAAGTATAAACTATAGGTCAATATTTTCATCTTTATATATCACTGTATCTCAGCTTGTCCACATATGTGTATCTGTGTTTGGACATGCCCATTATTCTGTGGATGTAAAAAGCATACGAATTCGTTTACTTTGTATTTGCTTCCATTTTTTTCTTATATAGATATTTGTTGAATTGAGTAAACGTTGTCACAAGGTTCTTATTTCTTGAACTCACGGTGAGAATCGTGCTCACTGTACACGACATGTGAGTAGTGTTTCAAAACAACAATACTCTCACAATATGTATTTATTTTTTGCTCTTCAAAGCTTTAATGATTGATATTAATGTCGTTTATGCGCTGTTTTCCTCTGTCCCTCTTGCTTTCTATATACCCCGTGAGTGTTAACTTTTCCAAGCCCTCTTTCCTCATTATGTACACTAGAAATTTCTATTCTTTTTCTGACACTATCTAAATGTGTCTTTTTTGCTTCTGTTTTCTCTAAAACTTCATCATTGCTCAGATGCTCAGTCCATGTTATTCTCAAGACCGTTCTGTAGAATCACCTTTCTGTTGCCTCACGTCGTTTCATCTAGCATTCACTACCGTACAGAAGAGATTACATAACAGTTCAGTTCTATTTTCTTCGTTTCTAACTAATTTTTCCTATTGTTTAATAATTTGCTTCGCTTTTGGAAGATATATTTCGCTTTCCAGTTATTCAGTTACCCATAACCATCAATCTATCTATCTATCTATCTATCTATCTATCTATATATATATATATATATATATATATATATATGTATATATATTGTGTATGCGGGGTTTGAAAAAAACCTCAGATCAAACTAAATCGTATGCGTCTTATAATTGAGGATTGCGGAGATAATCATTTTTCAGAAGCTTTGATAAAAAAACAAGGACGATAAAGATAATCGTCTGAAGAATACGTTGAACAATAGCAACAATTCACCTTAGAATTCTTAAAACACAAGGAACGGTAAAACTTATCATTAGAAATGAGATGCCACAAAACAACACAAGGCCTCTCCTACGTAAATTGCATTCCATATGATGCAGCGCGAGACACCGTCAAACAAGAAAACAAGTCTATTGCAAGACCTCATAACCACGGTCAAGAAGAGAAAGTTGAAATGCTATGTCCAGGTCATAAGAACCAACGGTGTTTCCAATGCCATCCTTCAAGGTACCACCTCAGACAAAAGAGAAAAAAAAAAAGAGACAAGGAAAAATGGGCTGATAACATCACTGATTGAACTGGCAGACTATAACATTACCTTGTCATTTGGAGAGTGTTGAGCAGATGCTCAGCTGCCCAATGACCCTACAACCACATTGGGTCAAGGGACTGATAATAATAATGATGATCATGACAATGAATATGTGTCAAGCTCTGAACTTATCGATTCACTTATATATATATATATATATATATATATATATATATATATATATATATATATATATATATATATATTTAATTCAAAATTCTATAAAACACTTAAAACGAAGTGGTCATATTAACAAAGATGAGGATATTAGTCTGAATAATTGGCAGATTAGTGCTTAGATTATATCCCAGACTGACTTTGGTTAAATAGATGCCAACCTGGTTGCTAGTTTATGAATAAACTCGAGGTTATTTAACTTCCGACGAATGGATTTGCAATATTTGCTCAGTCAAAAAGGTCTTCGTGGCTGAGTTTGTAAATGTGTCATCCATATAGACGATCCCCAAAGATTATCTAAATTCTGAATGCGACCACATACTATTCTGATTCCAATCGACTTATTTTAATAGTGGGTTTATAAACCTGCAGAATAATGATAAAAAGACAAGGAAATGAAAAAAAAAAATGCCAGTTCAAAACTAATTGGTGTGCTTAGTTTGTAATTTTTTTCCACACCTTTATTTGGTATATTTTTTAAAAGTCAACTAGAGAGGTGTTTGCTCTTATAAATCAGACATGTTTTTTTATATTAATGGTATCCATTTTTAGTTCTCGCTCGCATTTGTTTGATATTTTTACTTTGAGATTTTGTAGACATTAATTTTCATTGTGTGAATAGCTTAGTGGTTATCTTCACGAAAAAAAAAAGCATTGTCATGCCAATGCATTCGTTTTCGTGCAAATACCCATGAAAAGATATGAATGCATCTCTCTCTCTCTCATTCTCTCTCTCTCTCGCTCTAGCTAGTTGATAATAGTAGGCTAGATTTGATTCCCTAACCTTAAGTGTCAACAAGTCTAGAAGAAGAAAATCACTGAATACAAAACCAGTCTGAAGAGGGGTGACTGTCTTGCCTTAGAGACAACAATACTGCAACATCTACAGTATATTTGGTGCCTTTTGGCTTTAATGAGTCACGGGACACGTGACGTCACAAATTATTTTATTTACTTCAATGGAAAGGTTAAAGAGTAAATTGACTGATATTTATTAAACTAACCTTATTCTGAAATAAACGTTGCGAGAATTCAATAAATTACGTGTATGGACTGAACATGCGAGCAACGACGAAATTTTAAATAAAATATAAAAAATGGCGCTTATTCTTAGCGTCAGAAAGCGAAAGTGTGCTTAGAAAACTTGATACTCAAAGGACATATTGAAGGCAAGAGGGTCACAGGAAATCTAAGCATAGCCTACCTAGTGGGCTTGAGCAAATAGCGGACGGAATTGGGTTTACGAAAGAAAGGAAAATCTTACATGAATCATTGTCAGCCATCATTAATCAGTTTTCCAATAGAATTTACTTTCATCATCATTACTTTGTTCTTTATCGCAGCTACGACAGATGTCTCGATCCAAAATTAAAGGATAAGCAATTAACCGGACTCAAGCTCACGCCCGTTTTGTTAAAGTCAGCTTCTCTACCGACTAAGTTGATAGAACCCAACTGCTCCGTAGATAAAACTCGACAAAATCTTTAATATTTCGAGTATAGAAACAAAAATATGGCGCCGAATGAGTTCATGGAATAGAATGATCGGTTTAAAAGTTAAACTTAATCTCCTGTCAAGTCGTAGCTCAGTCAGCAAAACCAGCTGCAGAGGTTATCTTCTGAAACAAAATGGATGTAAGTCCAAGTTTTCCCAGAGCGCTGTCTCGTGGATGTCGTAAATTGACGGCCTGAGTAAAGAAGGTTAAAAATGAAAATGAAAGCAAATATTAATCAAAATTAATAATGATAATGAACAGCGCTACCTTTTCATTCGGATAGAAATAAAAAGAAAAATAATATTCGGAATATAAAGAATCATGGAAAATAATGGAATGAATCCAATCAATGATAAAAAAAAATTCCAAGTTACTTTCTAAACCAACTTTAAAACCAGCTGTCGAACGTGCATAGAGATATAGACAGAGTTGATAGGCAGACGCCCACACTAACATGACGAATTCTTTCCCATACGTCTTTCACAGGAAAATGTAAGACACACAGGAATAGTAAGAGAAAGATGTATTCCCACGGATGCTTATGCTCACTTAAACAAGCATTCATAGATATAAATCGAATGAAGAATGAACCAATGACAAAGAACGATTGCAAGTCACGTGTAAAATGAAAAAAAAAGAAAGAAAGCTTTATGCACATCTTGGAATGCAACATTAAACACATATATAATATTAGTGCAAACTTCTCTATTTCAGTTTGCTCATATCTATC